ATCTCTGGTTACTCAAAACAAACCCCTCCTAGTGTCCTAATGCACTTTAATCATTAGGTGGCGTCTCTTCAATTCAAAACCCAATTCTCGAAAGGGAATGAGTTGTTTCCCAAATGTCACAAACATGATTTTTGCGAGAAAAAAAGGGGCGCGATAGGCCCGTCTTTTGAGTTAACTTTTTGACTTTTGGTTTTAAGCTTAGCATTTTCTTATGGGATAAATTCATTTAGCCCCTGTTGATTGTATAGAATTGTTTATGGCTAGATTCGGCGCATCCAGAGTTCGATTTGAGGGGCAAAGGCATCGCGAAGTAGGATTTTGGCTTGGTCGAGATAAGTAACGATTGTAAATCTAGACCTGAGGGTATGAAACCCCAGAATTTCGTACTGTTTTTATAAATGAGGTGACACACATGCTAGGTGACGGGCGTATGAGCATGCACCGATAGGGATTATGACTTGGTCCGTCCTGTGACAACTGTAGAGTTGCATATTTTGATAAACCCTATTTGAAATCTCTGTGTTTAGAAATAATTTTGTTAACTTGGGCTAAATGCCATGTTTGGGGCCTTGTGTCGTACTGTTTGAACCCTCAAGGGTATTTTACTACAATCCTCTCGTTGTTTTGATTTGAAAGTATATCTTCAGTCATGATTTTTACTTGTTTATTGTTTGATTCAGTTTAATTACTCTACTTTTAAATATATGAAAACTATTTGGGCTGAGTTCCCTGATTTTTCACTGAAATGCCCGAGTGACTGTGAGGTTGATGACTAAGAGAGGCCAAGGGCCTGATGGTAAGGATTATATATTTATGGATTGGGCTGNTATATATATATATATATATATATATATATATATATATCTCATAATAATAACTGTTGCACACCTCTAGTGAGCGCAGTTGACTATATATATATGTACGGATTGGGCTGCACGCCGCAACAATTATTATTATGAGATATCTATTAAGCGGGAGTGTTGAGTGTGAGCGCTGATTGATGAAAGTTGAGTCATGAGTGACTAAGAGGCTTGCCCGAAGGGCTAAATATATGAGTGATACTTTGCCCGAGGGACTTCTTTAATGAAATTATGGTTTTCACTCTTTTTTCATACCGAGCCTTTATTGAAAAATGCTAAAAAAAAATTAAATAACTTTCATCGAAATTGGAGTTTTTATGAGATGTTCGGAAATTGAATTACTGATTTGACTTTGTTATTTTCATTGAGATTCTATGTTATGAAATGTATATGATTTTAAATGCTCGGCACTACACTCATCCTTTATTTATAATGGTTACTTACTGAGTTGGCGTACTTACCTTACTCCCTGCACCTTGTGTGCGGATCCAGGTGCCAGAGCATCCGAGTGAGAGATGTTCCTTATCTTCAGAGCATTCCGGAGTTAGCAAGGTAGTTGTTCAACGTCCGCCGCCTTGCTTTTCTCCTTCTATCTTTTAGTATTTGTATCTATCAGACTCATCTTGTATTGAGTAGACAGTATCCGATTGTATTTTAGTAGCTCATAACTAGTGATACCGGGATCGACCAGTGGTTTATGTTTTGCAAAATTGTTCCGCTTGTTTTGAAATGTCTAAACAAAAGATTTATGATAATATATGATTAGTAAATGAAATAAGGAAAAGACATGTTTATGTTATAAATGTCGAATCGGCTTGCCTAGTACTGCGATAGGCACCATTACAGCCGGGGTGATTTAGGGTCGTGACAAAAAAAACCTTTGTTACATAAATTAGGAATCATAGTGAAGAAGAAAAGCACCATAGCTAGAAGTAACTTTCAGTTATTAACTGCTTTGTACATGACATGTAGAGAAGTATACTAATAATAATCAATAAACATTTGGACTGAAATATGTTTGCTTAAAATTCTTTCCTTTCCCATTTCATATTTTTAATATTTCAAATAAGGACTTACATTAGGTAAAAACTTTTATCATCTTTATCGATAGTGAGGAAGAGGCGTGGACCTGGGTCGGACAGTGATGGTGAGAAAGAGGAGTGGATCTGGGTCGGGTCGGGTCGGTTTTTAATTAGAAAATGGGATGGGTTTTTATATTGAATCAGGTCTTGCCACATGGATTTTTAAAAGTTCAAAAGAAGTATTTAAAGGGTGGGTGAAAAATATGGTCCAAAAGTATGATGGTAAGGATAATTATACTTAATTTCATTAAGATGTTATCATCCATATTCATTATTAACTGTTGCCTACTATTATCAACTATCACCATATCGCCACCATCATCCTCAATCATAGTCATCGCCATTATCTACTACACCACCCATCATCCTCACCACTCTTACCACCATCATTCTCAACCACAACCAACACTCATTCACCTTAACTAACCACCCGATCACCGTCAACAACCATAGTCGACACTGCTCATCATTATAAACTACCACCACCTTCCTCAATCGCAACTACCACCACCACTTGCCATTATTAACTATCACCATCCACCACCACTATCCTCAATTCTTGCCATCACTACTAATCACCACTAGCTACTATCCTGAACCACCACTATTGACCAAAATTACCACCAACCACTGTCTCTAGTCGGCATTCACAAGCACCATTGTTAGCCATTACTATCAACAAATACCATATTTTAAAAAAAATTATATATTTTATTGATAGAATATTAGATTAATTAGTATTTCATTTGAATTTTATGTTTATTAATTTCATATAAAAATAATTTTATACATTCAGATGTTAAAAATCAAACATTCTTAATCATTTAGTATTCATATCTTAATACACATTTTAATATTCAGATGTGTATTCAGATTTCAGACGTCTTACTCTTAAAAAAACAAATGAGGCCTTGAAGTTTCTGTTGTAGATCTTAATCATACATGCCTATTCAGACCCATTAAGTGATTGTATAGTAAAAAAAAATAAACACACTTAAAGATTAAGATATGAATAAATAAGATTTGGACTTCAAAAATAAATGCGCTTAATATATGAGATTTGAATGATTAAGATTTAGACCTCCGTTAAGTGCAAATAAATGAGACCTAATTTCATTAAGATGTGGATGTTGAGTACAAGGTGAATATTAGCTAAGCTTCCTCTATCATCCATATTCATTATTAGTTGTCGCCTACCTTTATCAACTACCACTATGCCAACACCACTACCACCATCCCCACCGTTCTCACCATCATCATTCTCAACCACAACCAACACTTATTCACCTTAACTACCACAACTAACTACTCCATCACCATCAACAACCATAAACGACACTGCCCATCATTATAAACTATCACTACCCACCACCACCTTCCTCAATCACAACTACCACCACCACATGCCATTATTATCTATCACCATTCACCGCCACTATCATCAATCATAATCGCCACCAATACTAATCACCACTAGCTATACCTTGAATCACCACATTAATCAAAACTACCAACAACCACTGCCTCTAGTCGGCATTCACAAGCACCACTGTTAGCCATAACCACTAGCAAGTGCCATATTTAAAAAAAAATATATTTTATTAATAGAATATTAGATTAATTAATATTTCATTTGAATTTTATGTTTATTATTTTTATATAAAGATAATTTTATATATTCAGATGTTAAAAATCAAACAGTCTTAATCATTTAGTATTAAGATCTTAATACACATCTTAATATTCAATTGTATATTCAGATTCATATGTCTGAGTCTTAATACATATCTTGATATTCAGATGTGTATTTAGATTCATACGTCTTAATTTTAAATAAAACAAATGAGGTGGGCCTTATTTGTTTGTACTTAATGGAGATCTAAATCTTAATCATTCAGATCTCTGATATTAAGTGCGTTTGTTTTTAAGGTCCAAATCATTACCGTTTAGATCTTAATCATTAAGTATGTTTGTTTTTATACTTTAGAACCACTTAATGAGTCTGGATAGATATGTATGATTAAGATCTATAACAAAGCCTTAATTTTATTAAGATGCTATCATCCCCATTCATTACATGTTGCCGCCACCGCCTACCATTATCAACTACTACCACCGCCACCGCCACTGCCACCGCCATCTTCAATCATAGCCGCCGCCACTACCACCATCCACCACCCCCACCACCATCATCCTTAACAATAACTACATACCCACCCACCTTAACTACCACAACCAACTACCCCATCACCATCAATCACCATAGCTAGCATTGTCCACCATTATAAACTTCCGCCACCTATCATCACCTTCCTCAATCACAACCACAAACACCACCCACCATTATTAACTATCACCATCCACCACCATCCTCAATCATAATCGCTATCGCTACCAATCACCACTAGCTACTACCTAGAACAACCATCATTAGATTAATTAGTATTTTATTTAAACTTTATATTTATTAATTTTTAAATAAATATAAATTTCATATATTCAGATGTTAAAAAACAAACGGTCTTAATCATTTAGTATTCAAACCTTAATACACAGCTTAATATTTAGATGTGTATTCAGATTCAGATGTCTTAATCTTAATACACATCTTCACATTCAGATATGTATTCAGATTCAGACGTCTTAATCTTAAGAAAACAAATGAGACCTAAGTCTTTGTTATAGATCTTAATCATACATGCCTATTCAGACCTATTAAGTGGTTGTAAAGTAAAAAAAACACTTAAAAGATTAAGATCTCAATAAGTAAGATTCAGACTTTAGAAAATACACTTAATATTTGAGATCAGAATGATTTAGACATTCATTAAATGCAAACCAATGAGACCTAACAAATTAAATCAAAGGGTAACTACAGCTTATTTTTCATAGTAGAGGAATAAATATGACTTTCCGTAAAATCAATCCGTGTGTCAAAACCATCTATAGTAAAGTTATTTTCTTACTTGTAGTCTTGTATTTGCAATGCAACTCTTCCTTGTTACAATGGAATAGAGTCTTGAACTGGCGGGTCCAAAATCAAACCAGCCAGGTCCCGTTTGCCACCAACGTTTTCCCAAATACATCACTCCTCCTTACCCGCCTACTGGGTGGCGCTCTCCTTCTCACTCCTCCTTTCCTATGCAGAGCGCAGATCCACCTCACCATTCAGCTCCCTCTCTCCATTCGTTTGATCCAAAACCGGTAACGACAATTCTTCATAATCCACACTGCTTATCAGAATTTCAGATCTGCTCACATTCTTGAATTAGATCACATACAAAAAAAATGGATTTAAGGCCTTCCCCATCATCGGGAAGGTACGAAAGTAGTAGCAGTACCAAAAAACCATATTTATCCAAATCAGTATCCGATGCCAATAGCCACAACCAAAGTTTAGCATCCATTCTTAACAATCCACACGCCGGTAAATCAGATGGATGGTGGTGGCCCACTTCCTCATCCCTTCCCGTCGTTCCTGAATTCGCACCACTAAACCCACTTCCTAAACCCGGATCTGATTTAACCCGAACCGATTTCACCCCTTACATTGCCTCCTTTTCCGACCCTTTTACCCGTTTTCACGATATCCAAACCCACACTAAATCCACCCTCCTCCTGGACGATCAAAATGGCGAAAATGCTCTCGTAGCGTGCCTTCGCGAAGTGCCCTCTTTGTACTTCAAGGAAGATTTCCAGTTAGAGGATGGCGCCACGTTTAAATCCGTGACGGCCGAGAATTTGGTTGTGCAAGAGAAGTTGTCGCAGTATTTGGATGTAGTGGAATTGCACTTGGTCAGGGAGATTTCGTTGCGTTCGAGCTCATTTTTTGAGGCGCAGGGGCAACTGGAGGATCTGAATTCAAAGATCGTTGAAGGGTGTAAGAGAATCAGGGAATTGAAAGAGACAATAAGGCTGCTGGATACTAATTTGGTGGGGCCTGCTAGAAAGTTGCAGGAGTTGAATTTAAAGAGGAGTGATTTGGTTGCTCTTCAGAACAAGCTCAACCTCATTATATACGTTAATCAAGCTTTATCAACTCTCAATTTGGTATGTTTGATTTCAAAGAACATTTATATCCGTTTCCTAATTCTGCGAACAATCTGCGTTTGTGCTTACGTCTAAGTACTATTATTGATAATGGCACTAATTGGAAGAATGATAGTAGAGAAACGTTTATTTATGATCTTCTTTGGTAGAGGAAAGAAGTTGCACTTATGTATCTCCTCGTTTATAACACAAGCCACGGTTTGTTGAAGGTTTTGGAGGACACCCTCTTTTGTGATGCTGCTGGAATAATGTTAGTGAAATGTACTCTCTAGTTGACAGTATTAATAGCATTAATATTTATGAGAAAAAACATGAATATATTAGGATTCAAAATTTCTTATTAGGTGTAGCTTGAGGATACATTATAAGATTATGATAATAAGACTCTTAGCTTTTAGGAATCTTGGGATTTTTTGTTAACTTGAATCTGAGTGGTTTATTTGGTATGCTGTGGTAGTTAAACTTGAGGTTAGATATAAAAGAGTGAGTAGAGGTCTTCTGTGGAAGAGTTACCGTAAAAAAGGTTAATAAAAGAAAATTTCCTACAAATACAATCTTGCACTTAGAAATTGACCCGATGATGCACTAAAGTAAAGTGACCAAAGATACGTAGAACTTTGTTGGTGTCTTGAAAACATTGACTTCAGTAATAGAAAAGCTTTTGGAGCTTTTGGTGGAGATGCTAAACAATTCTCCCTCAGTTTCAATTTATATGACGTAGTTTGACTCGGCACGAAGTTTAAGAAAAAAGAAGACTTTTGAAACCTCTAGTCTTAAACATGCCATAATATTACTATAAGATGTTTGAAACTTATGGTTTTAAGCATTTATAACATTTGTGTAGCTATATAAGCTTCTCATTAATGGTAAATGGAAAGTTTAAAGTTGAATTATTTTCATATATAAAGATGTCATTCTTTTGGAATAGATTAATATGGAAAATGTGTCACATAAACTGGAGCGGAGGGAGTATACGATTATAATTTTTTTGATATCGGATAAATCCCCTAGTGACTTTTAGCCCGAGTCCAATTGGCGTAACGGCTCAAAATTTCAAGGAGTATATACTCGCCACTCTACCCTCCTCCCAACTCAAAAACCAACTTTGTTCACAGTAGTCCTCGAATTCGTGAGTGCACCTAATCCACATATTCACGTGCTGCATCTTTATTATTGAACCAAAGCCCGGGGGAGGGGGAGGGGGGGCAAGGGACCCTGGATTATAACTAGGGGACTAAATTGTAACTCGATTCTTACTTTGGGGTGGAGGTCTTCCATGGAAGAGAGGTAAAAATGAAAAGTCTCAGGTATCCCTATATTGCTTGTACCAAAAGTTAGGGACGCAAGAGGGAAATCAAAAGTGTATAGCAGAATGATTGAGAGAGAAGATGGGTAAAGACTTAAATCAGGTCAAGTGTAAGACTACCACTAACAAGTCTTTCATAGGAGTTAGAGAGATCAGAGACAGACAAAAATGCTATTATTGAGCTTTAATCATGAAGAAAACATACCAATATCTTTGTACATATGCACAAGAGAGAAATTTCAGCTATATTCTTAAAATTAGGTTTACAGGAGTAAAGAAATCATGAAAATATAAGGTTTAGAAAAGCATGCGTCCAAATAGTATTCCCTATAGAGGTCTGGAAGTGCCTTAAGGCTTAGAGAAATTGGAGTAATACGTCTTACAGAAGCTATTCGTTGATAAATGAAGGAGAGGAAAGATACCAAATGAGTGTCAAAGAGTACCTTGATTTCGATATATATGAGCAAAGGATATAAGTAGAGTTGTACAAGCTATATGTGTAGAAGATTGTCTTTCCTAGAAAACCATATCTTTTTGTAAGGTTATTCTACCTTTTAGTATACTTCTTGTATACGAGCACGTTTTGCTCTTCTTTTAATGAAATTTGTTACTTTATCAGAAGAAAATAGAGTTGTACCAACGATAGACACTAATTGTATGATTCATAGAAGAAACTTTGAAAAGAGTAATAGAGCACAGACTATAAGGGTGAAAGAATTAGTTTTATGCATCATACATCTACAAATAGAGACTATATTTTTCCTAAGAAGATTGATGAAAATGTAGAGAGACAGAATGATCTAGACAAGATATTCCTTGACGTAGATAAAGCATAAGATAAAATTGCATAAGACAAAATTTCAATAAAAGTCCTCTGGTTAGTGTTGGAGAAGACATGTATACCCAAATATACAAATTCCACAAGAATACGTGCAAACTAACCATTATAAGTATGAGAATCATGGTACGATATGCAAGGGAGTTTCCAATAACTGCGGATCTACACTAGGGGTCGTACTTGTTTATCTTAGTATAATGAGCTAACTTATAGTATAAATGATGATGTTAATGATGTATGCTATTTGAAGATGTATTCTGTTAATTGATGAAATTATCGAGGGAGTCAACCAAAAGCTTGATGAGAAGCAATTTAGTGAGGGTTTCAGTAGAAGTAAAACAAAATATATGCACGACAAGTATAACTATAATAAGAATGAAGATGAGATGAGATTGGACGGGATTACAGTATCTAAATACAAATAACTCAAATATGAGCTCATTGTTTTAGGGAATGGTATGATGGGTGAATTTGTAACGCAAAAAATTAGAAAAAAGTGACTGAAATAGAGAAGTTCTATAGGAGTTATATGCAATAGCAATATATTTACCAAAGTGAAAGACAAGTTATATAGAACGGTGGTACGATCAGCAATGTTATATGGTAATAAATATTGGGTATTCAAGCTAATATATCCTCAAGTTGACGAATGTCAAAAATGCATGACGGTCATTTAAGATTAGACAAGATCTAAAATGACCATATCAATATTAATAGTACACAGGATAAAATAAGAGATACTTTGGTCATGTCCAAGTTAGACTTTCAAATGCAGCGGTCCATAAGTTTGACATTGTTATGATTGAAGAAATGTGTTCAATGGGTTAGACATAAAATTACATGGATATAGGTCGTCTATCTTTAATATCCGTGCAAACTTAGAATATAATAGATGAAAAGATCTATATAGGTGATACCAACTAGTTGGGATTAGAACTTGATCATGTTTGATAAACTTACATTAGATCTAGTGATTGTTAGAATATTTTTTAGTTTGTTTAGAGATAGTGTACATTGGGAGAAATTTAGAGAACCTCTAGTCTTATTACACTATCTTATTGGGTATTGGACTGGAACAAGTCCAAATGGAGCGAAATGAATATTTGAGGATTCTTATATCAAACACAACTAGCTCGGAATGAGGCGTAATTATAGTATGCAATTTGACCTAGTTGAGATATAGAATGGTTATTGAACTCTAATAGTCAAAAGTAAGAAATGATATGGTACCCTTATGTTATTGACTTTTAAAAAAAAACAAAAGACGCTCTTATATTATTTCACTTGAAGAGTGTAACAACTTTACCTTTTTATTTCTTTTCCTTGATTAAGTGAAAAGTTGTATTGGTGTGATGGGGAGATATCCTGCAATCCTACAAGTATGAATGGTCCTCTACAAATAAGATCAGACTATCAAACTTACCCTCAGGCCATTGGTCTAGTGGTAAAAGCGTAGCTATTGATGTGTGATTAGACGTATGTGACGATATTAAATCATGCGGTAGACTAAAGCCTGATATTTAAGTGGAGAAGACTCGAGGGCGGGCCTAATCCGCATATCACGTGCTACGCTTTTACCAAAAAAAGAGGGGTGAGCCCATTACCCACCGAGTTTTGAACTGTGTGCCACTAGCTCTTAGGGATTTCAGAATTATAAAGAAGGTCTTCGGTCTAGTGGTAAAAGTGTTGCACGTGATATGTGGGTTAGGCGTGCCACGAGTTTGAAGTTTGAACCCTACCTTAGACAAAACCTTGGTGTTTAAATAGAGAAGAGTAGAGGAGTGAGCCCAATACTCGCCGAGTTTCGAACCCTATGCCACTAGCTCTCGGAGATTTCTCGATTATAAAAAAAGAGATCCGACTGTCAAAGTCACTAAAATTTAAACTCCAAAACTTAACAAAAAATAAGAAAGTTCCACTTATGGCACACAAACATCTTCAACTTCCTCGAATGCTCTTTTGTTTCTTTCTTTATGTGTTGTCCAAAAGAGCACCCAAGTGACTGAAGTGCACCGAAATGATTGGAAGTGTATGGCGTCGCTAAAGAATGTGATGACCATTTAATGTAGTTGATCATGAAAGTTTCGACGTTTAAAGAGCGGGTGCGGGATTAATGTACTACTTCCTACGTTCCATTTTTGTATGATACTCTTAGGGGTCGTTTGGTAGGATGCACTAGATAAGCTAATGCATGCATTGACTTTGTGTATTAATAATACATTGTTTGGTAGACATTTTGAGCATATGCATTAGTTATACATCCTATTTGGTATTATCCTATGCATAACTAATGCATAGAAAACAATGGTATTAGCAATGCAATGGATTTTAATGCATGCATTAGCTTAGTTAAAGACAAAATTGTCCTTCAAAATTTATGCTTGATTAAAATATGCTAGTTAGTAGATTAATGCAAGTTCAAAATAATCCAAATAGTGAGAAATAGAATTATATCCCTAATAAATAAATAAATACTTAGCATATTTCCTTTTTTATAAATAAATATTTAATTTTATTTTACAATATAGGTAGACAAATAAAATAATTTTTTTTAAACTTTTTCATATAAAAACATTTCTCAACATATGTTTCTTTTAAAAAATTAGAGTGTGGACTAGTTTTGAGGGCATTTTTGTAAACAAACAATTCTTTTAGAAATTCTGCAATACTTTAATACATCAAACCAAACAATGGATAAGAAATATGTCAGCATAACTAATACCAGCATAACTAATGCAAGCATAACTAATACCAGCATTACTAATACACCCTATTCAGCATTATTCTTATGCACCCTACCAAACGACCCCTTAGTGTTATGGTTCGTTCCAAAAGATTGGCAACTTTTTATATTTGAAAACTCTTTAGTTTTAACTTTCCCATTTTTCTCGTAATGACAAAATAGGAACAATATGATATGTTAAACACCACAAGTTTTTAAAAGTGCTTTTGGTATGTTAGAAATACCTAGTTTATGAGTCTAAGTTTTTCCTGAAACGCAGTGTCCTGTCACACTGTCATAAGGAATAAAATGAGAGAGCACACGTTTATCCTGCGTAAAGAAAAGATATCACATGAAAGATATCTTTGTAATTGTTCCCTCTTTTCACTTTTTGGTTAGGGCAATTTGCAGAGGTAAGAAAGAACGTGAGAAGGAAAAATGAAATACGGTAGTACAGTAATACTAACCATTCAGCCATAGATGCTTAGCGGGGATCCTCGTACATATACTCAGAGCATTACTTTTAGGTACATCTTATCAGAAGAATGAGAAACCATGGTCTGAGAAAGGGAGAAGGATGTTCACTGGGATATGGAAACATTCAGTTATTCAAAAGATTATATTGTATTCAAATTGGAAAAAAACTGGTTGTCACCTTTTGTTTCTCGAGTGGTCAACTGAGGAGGTTCTGCTTGTGAACTAAATGTCTGTGTTTTGGGTCTTGAATAATAAGTAAAAAGAACTCAGGAGACTTGAAGGAAGAGGAGGTCTTGGAGCAGGGGAATTATCTTATTATGGAACTGAAGAAGAGGGTTTTTTTTCTAAGCCAACTGAACATTCACTAAGGGTATTCCATTTGGATGGCGTAATGCGAGGTTGAAAATTTTCTCTTCATTTCTCGCCCTATATCATTCTGTTCTACAATATTTTCCCTTCTCTTTTCATGCTTGCATGGTCAAACAGTCATCAATCTTTACATGTCACTGTTTGACAGCCTTTTGAATTTCGCTTGAGTAGTTTTAATGGCTTTCAGCATGAGAAAGTCTGGGATGCTACTCCATTTGTCTATTGACAGCATGCCAGAATGATTACTACTTAGTATTCTTCCATTTTGATTTGCCTTTTCATTAAGCAGAGTCAGTTTTTCATCTGTGTTCAGACTTTATCCTTCATCTATTGAAAAACAATATTTTACTGCATGTATTAGTCTAACCGCTATTTTATACAGCTTGTTGCATCTGCAGATTGTGCTGGAGCTTTAGATGTCACAGATGATTTGCAACATTTATTGGTACGTTACAGCTCATGTAATTTTGTGTTCATTTCCATTCCTAGCCTTTCCTGTTTTTTGACTATCGCACTAGTTTCTTCTCGGATTTTGTTGCAGCTGCAACCTCTTCTCTATCACTATCTTATTCTACAATTCGATGTAGAAATACGTCAAACTTTTTGAATTTCAGTTGGGTTATATAATGCTTGAGTTTTATTCTTGGCTTAAAATGCTAAATTAAACTAAAAGTTCTTTGTTGTTGTGGATTTTGGACATTGCAAATGTTTATGATGGAAAATGTTCTATTTGTCAAATGATTTACTGCTTGATAGGATGGAGATGAACTGGCTGGTCTACATTGCTTTCGACACCTTCGTGATGAATTGGCCACTTCAATTGATTCTATCAACAGGTTAGTCTATTCGAGTTAGCTTTTTATTCTGTTTCTTGGATTTGCTGACTTCATTTTATTAAGGTAGTCTAATTTTATATGTTGGATAAACAAAAGTTTAAAGCAAAGTCTGTATATGCCACAGTAAAATTTTGGTGAGTTTATCTTCTGCATATATTCTTATTGAGGTTCTTGTGCTGCCAAGGTACCAACAATTAAACTAAGTTTAGGGCACAGCCACCTATTGCATAATATATTTGCCTAGCTATTTCTACTCTTAATTGCAATTTGTGCCTACTTCGTTTCTAATTTCCCCAAGCACTTCTTTTTGGCGAAGTATCTATTATGCTAGTATGCCCTTGAAGAAACCTTTTAGCATACTATGCCTTATAGAAAAGGTACGTTTTAGCATATTTTGGTATTGTTATTTACCAGATCCCATCTTGTAGCATTCTTTCAGTTTGCATACTTTGTTATTGTTACTTACCAGATCCAATATTGTAGCATTCTTTCAGCAGAATTTATGCGTATAACTATACAAGAAGCTGGCAACATGGATGCGGCAATTACATCAAAATTTAAAGCGCGGGCAACCATTGCCATTAATGGAGAAGGCCATGAAGTAAGCATGATTTGTTATTTTGTACTTTGATGTTATTGTTGCAGATTGTTTTCATTCTGTTTTAGACGGGAAAAGTCCCACTTTTGGAAAAAGATCCAGTACCCAATAGTTTACATAAAGAACAGCTCTTGATTCTCTATGAAACTGTAGCTGGAAGATGAAGAAATCCTACTCAGCAACTGTTCAAAACTTGCTCCATGCTTGATTCTAGATGTAGTTTATGCATCTGCTGCTGCCCAATTTTCCAATTTTTTGTGCGTGTGTTGGGGGGGGGGGGGGGGGGGGTTACATCTGTCCTTTTTGTATCATCCTGCATTCAATATATCTATCAGTGAGATAGTTGTGGTATGAATGCCTGCTGTTGCAGTGTACTATGTGTCTGTGCCTTTAGGTAACTTGGCAACAGGTCATACTAAATTGATGTTGATAATATTGCAGGCTAAATTGGATGAAGAAGAAACCTCAAATTTCCGAGACCGGCTTCTTCCATTTGTTATTGGATTACTAAGAACTGTGAGTTTTCTCTATGGTTAATCTGTGACATCATTGCTTATACAAGTTGTCAAGTTCTGGGTGGATCACGATTTCCTTGAAGTGGTGACTTCATGATCTAGGTCACAACTCAATCTCTTCGAACTACGCAAACACACCACTTCTCAGAAATGCACTACTCTTCTCTCTCTCAGAATCTGGGTGAGGAATAAGTTTTTAATGAAGCAAAAATGTGTACATAATAAAACTATAAATCTGGATCAGGTCATGCTGAAAAGAGTGAAACTGTTAAAACGGCATGTTAAGTGAAGTAGCGGGATATATAGGTCACAAGGTAAAATGTAGGATTTGGATGTCAAGGAGCTCTGAAAGTATAGAATATTAGAAAAAAGAACAGTTTCTGGACAGATGGTGATCAATATTTGAATCTGTCCCAAACACTTCAATTTTTTTTTGTTGTTAAAAGAAAACTAATTTAAAAGGAACTTACAA